AGACCAAGATTAGAGTTTCCTGTTGTAGAGGTCACAGAAGGTGTGTCTTCCTTTTCCGTAGTTTGTTCACTAGTGGATATGGCTGTTCTACTGCTCGAGGAATAATCATTGAGTGATTCACTGGTGGATGCGGCTGTTGTACTGCTCGAGGAATAATCATTGAGTGATTCACTGGTGGATGTGGCTGTTGTACTGCTCGATGAATAATCATTTAGTGATTCACTGGTGGATGTGGCTGTTGTACTGCTCGATGAATAATCATTGAGTGATTCACTGGTGGATGTGGCTGTTGTACTGCTCGATGAATAATCAGTTAATGTATGGCTCGAGGAATACTGATCCGTATATGTATGTGTAGTGGTGTCATAGTCTGTATACGATGTAGTGTCAGTCGACGATATAGGAGGTACCTGAAAAATGGGAAAAGGTTTGTCTATACTCCTAATTCGAATGGACGGACAGTTTTTAAAACTGCAGTGTAGTAAACTAACCTCTGAAGAATGTCTTTCGAATAAAGTTTGCAGTTTAAGAAGAACACAGTGTTGTTCCTCATGACAAGAAACGTTCAGCTTTACCAACGAACCATTCCACTGTTTCAACAAGTACATCGATTCAATCTATTTCATTTAGAAATGTGACAGTTTGTTATTTTAATGTGTAATTTATTCTTTTGTAACTGAGAAAGCCTCAGAGTCTTCCTGCAATGACATTTCCTGTCTTTTGCGGATATCAGTGCTCTATATCGTAAGACGTAATGCTTCTATACACAATATAAGCCTAAAAGCACATGCACCTGACAAACCTGTTTGCAATTGTCTTTCGGTCAGTCGTCCATGCACGAGCTTTAATTTTAAAATTGTGCTCAGTGTATGCTCAAAGCTTTTACCCTGCCATTTGTTTGAAAGAGCTAAAGTTCTGGCTGCATGGCCTTGTTCCTGTCGAACTTCTATATTCTTATATGCATGGTTTTCTTGTGAAACGTTAAATTTTATGTCTCAATCTAGTTTTCTGTTGATGTGACTTAAAGCCATCCTTTGTCTTCTTAGTTCTTAGTTCTTACCGTTAACACTTTTACGGAATTAGTTTCGTTTTTGATGGAAAAAAGGCTGCGACCGCCGCCAGTTGTTTTCCAGTTCCAGCCATCTCGGATGCATTCAAACATGTCGTCTACTTTGCAATTCCTATCGTTTTCTCTGAAAATTGGAGCTGAAATCTGTAGTTTAAAATTCGGTTCGCTATAATTCAGGTATTTCATAAAAGAGCCATCGGAAAAACGGTAACACCCTATTGAAAGTTCAAATGACAAATTAAGACATATAAAAATATAGTCAGTAACGGAAGGGACTTTGAGATGCATGATTTTGATTTGATTTTGATGACTGCCCCGTCACAGCTACCTTTAATTACCTGCAGGGCTTCTTGAATTGCTTTCTAGTGTTCAGAATGTTTGCTTTCATATATATAGGAGTGTAATTTGTTCTATTGTATTCTCAAAAACACAAAATTAACGATAAAAAAGCAGAAACCGTTTCGACAGGCTCTGTGAGATCATCCATCGGTCCATGCATGAGATCGAGGATGCATGAGATCATTATGTCTGAGCAGTAAAGAAATTGCCAAAAAATTTCTCGCTTTTAAATTATCACGCAATTTTTGGCTGCCTCTATGACAAGGTTGTCAGGAAAGTCAGTCAAATTTACAACACCATATTCAAAAGTCGTTTACACTTAAAATGCAAAATAAATTTTAGTTTGAAAATCCGATATATTTATAGTTGATTAGTTCGTCCCCAAGGTTAATTGTAGTTTTTGTAGAAGTCTAGAAGGTCCTGTGCCAAAGGGCTGAAGTGAAAGTTGTCTGCCCGTTTTTATGGGTGACATCAGGAAACAGCCATGCACAGAAAAACCATAGGGAGCCCGGTCAATGCATGTGGTAAGTCAATACACCACGTCTACGCCGTTTACACCAGGTTTTAATTAATTTTGTTTGGCATGGCAGGCTGTTCAGGCTGCGAATATATACAAATTAAGGCTGAACATGCACGAATGAAATTTGTACATATTAATAATTAAGATAATCTGTCATCAAATAAATGAAATCCATCTCAAACCTGTGAGTTTGAGAATCTGTCACACACTGGGTGACAATTTTTTGGTAGCTAATGCTTCAAACTGAAAGACTACAGTTGTTACTCTATATAAATTATAGTCTATATCAATGATATACTGCTGCATGATCATTTGTTTATAATGTAGCTACATATATGCATATTTATACATTTATATATGCACGCTAATATATATTCTTATGGACAGTTTTTTTTTAACAATAAGTTTTTTATATATAAACTATACAATTAAAGTATATATATAGCATAGTACGTACCTGTGTAGGCCTTTGCTGTTTTGCAAGAGCCGGTTTTCAACCATAGCTGAGTATTCCAAAAATTACTACTCCAATTAGCTGAGATAGCGTAGTCTTTGGGATTAGGTAGACGTAAATACCAACCAAGTTTTTTCCACCAAAATGTCATGCCTATACAATTTCTGCCATACTGATAACAGACATACCGACACAAATTTTTCTGCTTATCAGATCCCTTCTGACACTGTTCCATGGTCAGATTCCTCTTTTCGCCATGACCTTCAACGCACTTGAGTGTTTTAACATTCATTATGAGCTGCAGTTTTTCTTTGCCGGCTGTTAATATCCAAAGCATATCAGTTAACAATCTGTTCGAATCTAACTTGGTATTAAAACAATCTGCTCCAAATATATAATTGTGTGCCGGATCAATTTTTACACAGGTTCCATGTTTTCTGTTAATCAGCTGAAATGCTTCATTTGGTACTGCAAAAAAAATTAATCACAATATATGTGTAATTTTTCGTGGTATTATGAGTATTTTGCCAAACTGGTAACAAGTGCATATTCATGCAGAATCCACGAATGCATGTAATTGCTAATTCACAATCTATAGCCCTCTAGGGTTTTTATAGTCAGGGCGGGGTTATCGTCACATTTAGGATTATATAAAGTTGAGATAATACTCATGCATGATCCAAAACTACACCGCTTAATAGGCATGCAAATTTTTCATTATCTCATTACTAATTCGTACAATTTTTTATGCCATATTGCAAGCCAAGTTGCTCTGAGTGAAAAACGACTTGTAGGAATCTTCAATCACTAAAGTTACGCAGACCACATACACCAAATGTTGGAAAATAGACGATTTTTGTAAACACGATAAAACTATAGGTTTTAACTATAAAACGACGGAATTGGTTTTATTTACTTCTAAATATTTTTGCCTCGGAGCTGAACCTATAATAAATAAAACTTTATTACCAGTATTAAACGTTTTACAGGCTATAAATATAAAACTTCCACGATCTATCCAAAATAAACAGTCGCTATTTTACTTAGAGTGAACGGAATACGCCACTTTTAGGTTCACCTCCGACTCAATTGTCTTTAAAGTCAACCATGAAAATTTTATCAAGTTAGCTTTATTACTTTTTGAGTTATCGTGCATGAAAGTAAGCTAGGGGAATGAGAATTTTAGTTTGCTAAGAAAAGCGACAAAAAAGTTTTGCATATATCATAAATTATAGAGAACAATACAATAGAACAATAAAACAATAGAATAAGTCAATCGACCCCTTTTGTTTGCCCGGAAAAAACCCTAATTAATAGAAGTCTTTTTTTCAGTTCTCGCGTTTTTTGTATATTTTTTGGAAAAACGTATACAAGATTGCTTAGGGATACATTTAAATTTTTAAAACAGCATGATTTTTTTTCTAGTGGACCACCTTGAAAAGGGAATTTCTTACTCTAATTTGAGTGATTTAATATAACATGCGTCGTAATGATACGTAATGACCGGTGATTAGCGTGCGCAATTCTAAGTGTTTGGGCGTAAATGTCGCGTATTTTTGGCCATGCATACATGGACTGATTTGTTGCGCTTTGCTTGTCCATTTGCCTAAGGCTAAGTTGGTGGCCATAATTGATATTTCACAATATGTCGGCTTTTCTTGCCCCATCGCTTAAAATTGGCTTTCAAATCTTAGCTCGATAATGTTTCACATGCAGTTCAGCAATAACGAAGTATAACTACCTGAGGTCGGTACTATTTTCTCATCTCTCGTGCAATTTCCAAAGATTGGACCATCTTTGCTCACCATAAAAGTGCTGTGGCTCTCTGAACAACGACAGTATTCACATGATGTCAGGTTAACACACACAGCGTTGTAATATTCACAAGAACATTCTTCACTTGTAAAGGATTGACAATCAAAATTTTTAAATATATCTTGTCTACGTCGAATTATTTCGAAGTCATCTTTGCCCTCACTTCCGCATATCCTCAGACAAACAACCAAAGAACATAAAATGTAATAAAACATTTTCTACAGGCCGACCGGCGATTTCTAAGATCGGGCGAAAGTACAGCACAGCTTTAAGAATGACTATAATATCAATATAAAGCAGAACCTCTTAAATATACGTTTTTTTTATAAGTATATACTGATTAAACCTTTTCATGCATGCATGATTGCATGGACTTCCTGTGGAGTTTTAGAATAATTAATAATGTAATGCAAAATAAATGCTTTCGAATTCTTAATCATATGCATGCAGGGTGTAAAAAAAGACGCATCACTAACACCCTGTTTACGAAAGAGGGTAATCCTGGTGGCAGTGACAACTATTATTCATGTCACCTTAAACCATTCCTTAAACCTAATCCTAACCCTTTCTTTCTCCTTCCTTCCTTCCTTCCTTCCTTCCTTCCTGCGCGTGCGCAATAGCGAATAGACACTATCACTTCCTGGTAAAGTTGTCTCGGGAGGTACAGGGCGTCCCTGACCCTGGTAGTCGAGATCATATAAAAGGCACCTAAATATTCATTATTATTCATTGATCGCCAGCTGAAAGGTTGAAATATTTACTCGGTTATTTTCTTTATGTATAGAAAATTATTATGACTATTTGTGATATATAAAAACTTCCCTAGTTTACACTTATGATAAATGTTAAGTATATTGCTGTATATCTACCAAATAAAATATATTGACGTAAATATATGCATGATTTTATTAAGGGATAGATATCGAATTAGAAAAGATCGTCAGAAAACGTATACACATTTACTTGGTTTAAATCACAAGCAATTAATTAACAACTTAAAGTCCGTTATTGACCTTTCATCTAGACGTCCATGCATACATAGGAACTGCCTGTAGTGTAGGGCGGCGATTATTTCGATCAATTACCAGAACTCATCTTGTATAACGCCGTACCATGCTTCGACTTTAAATTGAAGTGACTCTTATACTACAATGGCTATAATGCTATTACTTTAAATAATTTACAAAAGCTAGGACATGCAAAAACTATAAAAATCAATCCTTTTGAATGATTTATGTCCCATGCGAAAACTTTCTACGAAAAACGGTAACCATTTTTAGCAGAAGGAAACAATGTAGTGTAATTCACGGCTGTTAACTTGTCTCGTTTAAATCATCAAAAATATTACACTGGATCGCCCGAGTGTGGTGTGTCGTAGGTTGCCTAAAAGCACAGCAAAGTATTTTAGGTTTGTCAAAATTCTCTCAACCAACCTAAAGCTTTCTCAATTTTTTATACACATGCAAGAATTAATGTAGCATGCAGCTAGCTCGTTTGATATTTGGTTATTAAAGTCAATATGCTGCTACAGATTATAAGTAGTGACTTTTTCTATCAAGTTTGTTAAACTACTGTCGTGCTTCGTCACTCAGCTAGTCTTAATGTCATTGCACCTGCTGGGAAGGTCTTGATTTAATAAGCTTGACAAACTATTTCATAAAGTGCGAGATTTTGAATTTTAAATATACATACCAGCTTTGTTTCATCTGTTGGCTCTTCTAATGTCGCATAAACAGCTGTCGGGGGTGGGCTGGGTTCTTCAAGTGAATGATACAGTGGATTATTAGGAGTGTCCGACTCAGGCTTCGAATCAAGTTCTGGAATTTCAGTGTTCGCCGCATAATCATACTGTAGATCAGGTTGGGTAGCAGCATCCACAGGCTTCGTATTCAGAGTTGTCCTCGGTATTTCAGTGTCCTTGGCGTAGTCATACTGTAGATCAGGTTGGGCAGCAGCATCCCCAGGCTTCGTGTTCAGAGTTGTGCGCGGTATTTCAGTGTCCTTGGCGTAGTCATACTGTAGATCAGGTTGGGCAGCAGCATCCCCAGGCTTCGCATTCAGAGTTGTCCTCGGTATTTCAGTGTCCTTGGCGTAGTCATACTGTAGATCAGGTTGGGCAGCAGCATCCCCAGGCTTCGCATTCAGAGTTGTCCTCGGTATTTCAGTGTCCTTGGCGTAGTCATACTGTAGATCAGGTTGGGCAGCAGCATCCCCAGGCTTCGTATTCAGAGTTGTCCTCGGTATTTCAGTGTCCTTGGCATAATCATACTGTAGATCAGGTTGGGCAGCAGCATCCCCAGGCTTCGTATTCAGAGTTGTCCTCGGTATTTCAGTGTCCTTGGCGTAGTCATACTGTAGATCAGGTTGGGCAGCAGCATCCCCAGGCTTCGCATTCAGAGTTGTCCTCGGTATTTCAGTGTTTGTAGCGTAGTCGTATTTCAGTTCAGGCTGAGTTGGCTTCGGGTTTACAATGGCATTATCGATATATTCATATCTGGCAGGCGACTCTATAGATAACGAAATATATACCACTTATTAACCGAATTTGAGGTCCGTACTAGAAAAATATCAGACCGAGGTCTTGACAGTACGTACGGATCGAGCGATAGCGAGGTCCGTACATAAAAGACCGAGGTCTGATATTTTTCCAGTACGGACCGAACGTATTCGGTTAATAAGGGATTTATTATATGGCATACAGTATTTAGTTTATTTATTTATACAATGCGCTGCAGCATTCTTGCCGGCTCTTTCGCCAGCCAGTCGCCAAGCAAGCACTGTTCAGTGGCTTCCAAAACTTTTTTTTACTCGTTAAATAAAAATGATACGGTCTAATACTGGGGGATTCCAGACCGGCAAAGAACCAATCAGCACACGCCATTTTAGTCACGTGATCGCGTGCCATATAATAAATTCAATTAATGTTATGGCTTTCATTGAAACTTACAACATATGATGGTATTAAGGAGGCATTTATCTGACTTCTTAGACAGTCCTGACAAAGTAAACAATCCCCCAAACCGCGATAAATCACTGTATAACCATGCATCATTGGGAAATGGGAAAGAAAAAGGAAAAACAATAAACGTATTTTCCATCTATACATGATTTATTATAAATCTAATAGTTATTTTGTATTTCCCGATGCTTTATAGCTATACCTGTTTTAGATGCGGTCATTTAAATGCATGCAGTTTACCTTCTTTGCCAGGTGTTGTGTAAATATTCGGAGCGTCATAAACGACTCTGGTATAGCTGGGATTGTTTCCTAAAAAGAATCAACATAATATAGCATAATTGCGATCACAATCTTTCTTTCTTATATATACACTCCAAAAAGCCCAAAGGGTTAATTGAGATTTTAGGTAAAAAATACCTTGGACTTGGTTGTTGGTTGACCTTTTTGTTTTTAGCCTATGAAAAGAATACTGCATGAGCTTCTACTGCGTGAGCTTCAAATGGTTATATTACTTTATTATTAACTATGAGAATTCGTGCACACAGCATGCACGTGTGCCATCAGCATGGATGCAAAGGTTTTTACCAAGGTAATTTGCTATTTTGAATTGCATATTGCTATATTTTTTCAAATTTAAAAACGTATAACACGTTAATTTAATTGCCCCTCCCTCTCCCCCCTAATGCATATACATGTTAGTAAATTTGTATGAGAAGAGTTTCGTACAGATCGTGAAAACCTAGACTGACTTTATAGTGAGGAATGTAATATAATAAAGAAATGTGAAGATGAGAGAGGCAAGAAAAATATTAGATATAACGGTATACTATAGTATTTTTTATTAAGTCTGTCGTGATCGTTAGTATTGTAACTGAATCATACCTTTTTCGATAAAAGTAGGCTACAACAAGTACCAAAATGATTATGAGCACAGGAACTGTGACCGCGATAGCAATAGTGACTGCTGAATTTTCTTTGTTTTCTTTATGTTTTGATATCACAGGCACAGTGGTGCTTGCCATTTTTGCTGTTGTCGTTGATGCTATCTCTGTGGCGTCTGCCATTTTCGCTGTTGTCGTTGATGCTATCTCTGTGGCGTCTGCCATTTTCGCTGTTGTCGTTGATGCTATCTCTGTGGTGTCTGTCATTTTTGCTGTTGTTGTTGATGCTATCTCTGTGGTGTCTGTCATTTTTGCTGTTGTCGTTGATGCTATCTCTGTGGTGTCTATCATTTTTGCTGTTAGTATTGTTGTTGACGGTATTGCAGTCATCTTTCATGTTTTTAAAAAGAAAACAGTATCATGGTCATTTCATATACGAGCTAGGGAACCTTTGTTTCCAATCATGCCTGTGACGTGAACGCCCAAATAGCAGGCTGTCAAATATCAGGAGGTGAATATAATGAATATTTTTGCTCTATATATATGGTAGTGCAACCGGTGAGCATTGACCACATTGGGTACGACCCACGTTTTCTCAATTGCATGAGAACACTAAACCGCCTGGTTATAACAATATACAATGTCCCGTAATCCCATGCATCAGCTGGAATATAGACGACAATTATTATATATATGTTATAAGTAATTATATAAAACTTTTATAATAAAGGGTAAGGAACGTGACGTGAATTTATCAAAAGAGGAAAATCGCACATAAAATCGCAGCAAAAATTGCAAGTGTAAACGGGCCTAAAGACGAATGTTTCACAGGAACCAGAATCTCGAGATCCCACTTTTTTCCAAGTCTGCATGGTGATGGGCTACTGAAAAGTTCTAATGGGGAGTTAAATGCACGATTATAATGTAATTGTATGTTTGTATATATGATATGTATCTGTAATATTCGAACTCACCGTTGATCCCACTTTTTTTGGCGGAGATCTAAACTTAAGAAGCAAGCAGTGATTCTCTTTGCTTGACTCGTTGGTTTTGTTTTCACAGGAAATTTCCAACTTCAACAGTGAGTTGTTAAATATGTCGAACGCTTCTTCTTTGATCTAAATAATTGTGGAAGCAAATATTATGGTGTATTTGGTAAGTGATAGAGAGGCTAAGACAGAAGACACTGCATGTATCCATTGTAGCCAGAATAACGTAGTCATGACTGCATGCTGTGCTCAGTTACAATGTTAAAATATAATACGATATAAATCAGTATCAACCAAATAAAAATGCAAACAGAATGTCGAACCATCAGTTAAGTTGTGCACAGGGGTTATGACAGTCGACATCATGTGCCTTAATTGTGCCGTGCAGGCTATACTTTTACCAGTACGGTTACCAATCATGATACAAAGTATTGAACTTGAAAACTATATTCACACCTTATCCAAATTTTTAGATGACTTAGATGTTAGACACTCAGTTTTACACTATAACCGACTCCTCATTAACTGGGCGTGTTTTTTCATCGATTTTAACTCATAAAAAATCTCGTAAACTGTCTATAAGATTGCATATAACTGACTGTATAAGCTAACATTATACTGCACGTATTCAGCGTTCAATTTCAATCTCTGTTACAAATTATAAGTTATCAAAGTTTCTCTCACATGTTAATTCTTACCAATAACATTTTAAGGTCTTTTGAAATGGTTTTGATGGAAATCGGTTTCTTGTTTGTCATTTTCGTAACTTTCTGCCACATCATATCACTCCGCATGATGGTGGATTTCGACCATATAATGCTACATTGCGAGTTCTCAGAGAAGATTGGAGCAGAAAAATTGCGAGTACATGGCTTAGAGCAATCGTCTTTGTCCAGATAAAGCATTAACTTTTTATTGAAAAACGGTAGCAACCTCAAAATGGATATAGCAATAATTATTAACTTGCACGATGAAGTATGAAACTCTGAATGAATCTCTCACATGTACTGCATCTTTAGAACACGACAAGCTGTATAAAATACTAGCCAGCTGTTCTAATTAATTTCAAATGTTTAAAAATATATAAGTAATCATTAGGCCTTCGCATGCAATCGTACAAAGTAAAAGAAAATTTGCATAAGTTTGACAATTGTGACAGAACCACATGCATTAACATAGATCTTTTTACAAAATAATCAAGTCAAATTGACAATTTCCGTGAATTCAAATTACGGTTTCGAAGTTGGAAACGGGAGCATCACATATTTTCGAAATTACCTCGTTATACCGTATATATGATTTAAGTTATCCCATGAGTTCTAGGGGTTAAGAGTTTTAATTCGAGTGGAATTATACACATGCACTTAAAATTCAAGCCAGGAACAGTTGATGCCAGTGCAATGCTCTTGCCACAGGACCTATAGTTGACTCTTTTTCATCAACTGTTCCTTGCTTGAATTTGAAGTGTGTATAATTCCACTCAAAATTAAGACGCCTTTAACCTCTATGTAGAATTTATCTCCATCAGGCGAAGCACCAAAAATCATAATTGATTCACCTTCAACTATCCCACGATTAGTTATACATTTTCTTGACTCTGCATCCTACATGACTGACTTTATCCGGTTTCAAAGAAATACAGGGTAAATTCATATATACCAGTCACATCAAAGCATTTATACATTATTGTTAAAAAGAATGTCCATGGCAAATATATGTAACAATTATACCGTGAGCTTGAATCATGTATGAGACTATGAGCGAATAGCAAACGAGGCGAAGCCGAACCGCCATATACAGGGTGCCTCAAAAAAGTGGACGCTATTGAATTAACCCATTGTGGGAATATGAATCGCATATAGCGCTACATGCAATAAGTGCTCCAGAGTGTTCCTGAAAATGGACGCGGTTGAAATCACTTTTTGTTTGAATTTTGAATGGCCTGAACCCAATAAACCGATTGTTTATAGTCAACGTATAATTTATAACAGCAAAAACTCGTTCTTCTGTGGTCAGTTGAACCATTTTCTCCCGAACTGGTCATAGCCATAGGATTAATTTGTAATATTATCATTTTCGCAAGGTTATTTTTTATTATTCATCTTTGCGTTCAGCTTAGTGCTGGGCAGCGTCCATTTTCAATGACAATTTGGACCACTTATAGTGCTATATGCCATTCAAATTCTAACAATATATAGGTGAATTCAATAGCGTCCGCTTTTTTGAGACACCCTGTGTAACGATCGAGAGCGAATGGTTTTATTGTTTTATAAAATAAAGCCGGAACTTTATAATAACAAGAGGCCTGCTCGGGCTACAGTTATCTCGCTTGAGCTTGTAACGCCTAATTTTTGGCGTTATGGCATGTTCGTGACACCCGCGCGAGAAAGATCCTAGAACGATTTCGATTCGTTCGAAGACTTCGCGCCGCCCACGCGTGATTTTCGTGAACTTGTCACGCAAAAGGAAAAACCGAGCCCAATTTTCAACTCGGTCTACCTACGGTAGGTAGCCCGAGTAATAAAGAAATGTGTAAACTGTTATGAAATCCTCACCACAAATTCTCACTGTATTACTGGCTCTTGTCACTACTCACCGAATATGAGCTATATAACATATAATTAATACCGATAGTAGCTCTGTGTCAGCCAATCAGGTTAGGAAACAGCTCATATACGGCGGGTATAGCTATATTATACGGCTAACAAATAAACGTGGCGTAGCTACACATTGTTTTAAAAAAAATAAAAAAGCATGCTAAATTACCAGAATATATATTTAGAATATTTGTTTCTCGTAAAACATACTATTTTGTGCACTCACTTTTAAGATGGTTCAAAATAATGAGGGCTTTCCCTAAAAGCTTAATTGGAGAGGAGCATCTTCATATATAGCCATAAAAGCAATCGCTAACAAGGAAATCAGTCGCGTCCCCCCCCCTAATTAGCGAGCCTAAGATGCGACAACGCGCGCTGACGACGCGGCCGACGACAGACGCCCTGTCTGGATACCAGTGTCTAATGTAATCAAATAGTTTCAAGAATTAGAAGAGCCAAAGTAACACATCTGGGATAAAAAATTTTCCTTAGAACAATGCAAACTCAATTTTGTGGCTATTCCAAAACTGTCTACTTTTTTAAAAACACACTCTACCTTTTTTAAAACACCCTCCAGTTATTGGCCTTATATATCATCCTATGATTAAGAGTTACCAAAGCTATGTCAGGACAGAGCTAAAGAGACAGAAGTTTGTACGCCAACTAAATGTTTCCACCAAATGTGTTAACTCGCGTACCATATAGTGGCGTCTTCAGCGTGTCTACGGAGGGTGTGTGTTGAAGGGAGTGCGTATCGTGTTAATACGTATAGCGTTTGGAAAGACCCAGACTCGTGTGGAAAGACCCAGCCTCGTTCCCAGGCACTTTACTAGTAAATTAACATATGACGTTACATCCAGCTAGTGTATAGAAGTCAGCTCAAATGTGAAAAAGCGAACGCGCTGAGGTGGCTTTCAAAGTCACCTCTGAAGTAGCTGGGTACGAGGCTGGGAAAGACCTGCTTTGGTTTATTATCGACACAACTTTCACAGATAAATCTTCATTGGATGTATAAGACTGAGATTACATTAGATTGAGTGCTCTGCTTTTCGTTATAAACCCTGTATATAAGCACGTACAATACTTACCTCTGTAAGTAATTGTTTTCCTGTCCAGATCTCCATTCTTGTTTTCCCAAGTCTGTCCCGAGCTGGGTGTCTTACTTATTGCTCCCTTACTATGTTCGTCGATTTCAAGGTAAAAATTGGCTTGGCCGCCGCACATTTTGGCAAATATATAACGTGTAGAGGTCTTGATTTGCTGTTTTCGATTGGTTCTATCACATTGCTTCATAACTACTGAATGCTTAACCAATGTTCTATTATGCGAACATGTAGACAAAGACTTGACAAACTCAAGACATTGGAGTGACATAACATTCATAAGTTGGATTTTTCCCGTTTCATTTAACCATATCCAACGCATATTTAGAGACGAGCTACAATCCGTTCCAAAAAGTTTTTCAATGCGATTTCCATTTATAGTAAGACATTTACCGTAATTTTGATTTCGAAGAAAAAAAATTCCATTTGGTACTAGAAGGTGAGAGATTATATGTATAATTAAAACATCAACGTTATATATAATATAAATATAAGTATATCACGTATTTTATGGTATGGCGGAGACCTTATAAAGCTCTGGGGCCGGTTGTTCGAAAGGCGTTTAGCTTAAACGGTGGATACGCCAAAGTTTTAAAATACTCTAATAGATTTTGGGTATATATGGCTGAACTTGCATCTTATGCGTTTGATTTGTATTTCTATTGAAAATTGAACTATTCACATCGAATATTTCAGCTCGGTTGTTTAATAAATCGATAATTTTGTTTTCTATTTTGAACTTATCCATGCACCGTTTAAGCTAAACGCCTTTCGAACAACCGGGGCCGGTTGTATGAAAGCCGTATAGCGCTATCCACCGGATAGTGGTTTTTTCAATAGCTTTAAAATCGCCCGTTCTTGGGTATAAGTTTGATTAAATCTTAGTATTCCTAAATCGAGGATCCTCTTCAACAATTGTTGGTCCCAACACTGAAATTTTATTGCTCTTCAAGCATTTTTAGAACGGCTGAAAAAACCACTATCCGGTGAATAGCGCTATCCGGCTTTCATACAACCGGCTTAGGTCATTATAATACTGACGTATTACCATGGGCGGCCCAAAATTGCGCGATATTTTTTCGCGCGAAGAATTTTTCGGCAATTTGTCAATGTAATGTATTATATAATTACATAAGGTAGGAAGCTCTTTTTTACGTTACGAAACTTACCACTTAGACTATGACAAAGTACATAAATTAAATTGACCGAAACTAATAAAAAATATAGTAAACTAATCTCTGATAATTTTCCTCGCTTCTTACATGCGAATTACGATTTAAAATTACTTTTAACATGACAAAATACGGCAATATTTTTATAGTTTTTGATCAAAAATATTTCGTACGATGCGGGATGACAGTGGTCCCTGTATTCGTCATTGTTTTAAATATTTTACATGATCCTATTGGTTGAAAAAATAAACAAACTGTAAGGTATTTGAACGAACTTTTTTCAACCAATAGGATCATGTAAAATATTTCAAAACAATGACGAATACAGGGACCACTGTCATCCCGCATCGTACGAAATATTTTTGATCAAAAACTATAAAAATATTGCCGTATTTTGTCATGTTAAAGTAGTTTTAAATCGTAATTCGCATGTAAGAAGCGAGGAAAATTATCAGAGATTAGTTTACTATATTTTTTATTAGTTTCGGTCAATTTAATTTATGTATTTTGTCATAGTCTAAGTGGTAAGTTTTGTAACGTTATAGCAACATGGTTTTGTTTCAAATTATAGGGATTGGTTATTGAATTATTGAATGTAACCTATCACTCTAGTTCATATAAAGGATAAGGGACAGTTCTTTACAAGCCCGGCTCTTAATTATATAGTTATTTTATTTCCAGAGGTAAATTTAATTTTCCAAACTCCAAAGCACTATATTGCTATTACTACCTAATATCGCGGTGAACAGGGTTGCATGCATGCATGTATCTGGTTAATTGGTTTTTCTGCATACTGGCTGTACTATATAGTTAGCCTAGGTATTTTGTGTATGAAATATATATATATATATATATATATATATATATATATATATATATATATATATATATATATATATATATATATATATATATATATATATATATAGGGTGTATCAAAAAAAATGTCCCAAATGTAAAATTTTCATTTTTCAGGATATTTTGCAGAATTTGGCAAATTTTTGTCTTCCTAGAGATAGTTAGAACTTATCTGGTATAC